AAAAAAATTTTTTTCCTTAAAATTGATCAATCACTAAGTGTATAAGAATTAGATGATGATGACAGATGGAAAATCAATCAATAATTATTATAATTGAGTAAACAAATGATAATAAAAGGCCATGCATATTTCTTTTTGATTAATCAATTTTCTCATTTATTTTATATATATTAATGATTAATTTAAATACTAGACATTTTAAATATCTAACATGAGAATTAAAAGGAAATCATGTATGTGTGTATGTATGTATGTGTGCATAGTGAAGAAAATACAAAAATGAATAAACTCAAATTATTATAATTATTATATTATATAAATAAGAAATCCTCAATGTGTTTTATTCATATTTAAGCATTCCTGTGAGAAGGAAGAAGAAATAGATAAACATGTTCAAATTGTCAAATGTGCCAAATGTGTTAATTAAATAATAAATAATAAATAAAAATATATGAATATTTTAGCCTTTTTGGTTAAGAATTTTTTCAAAGAAAGCATCTAATTGAGCAATATGTTCATCTTTTATAGTTGGTTCACTTCCTCTATTTTGATTGAATGATGCTTCACTTAGCATTTTCAATAAATTATCCTGATTAATTAGTTGTTGATCATTATCACGTTGTTGTGATGGTGGTGGCGATGGTGATTGTGATTGTGATTGTGATTGTGATTGTGATTGTGATTGTGATTGCGATTGTGATTGTGATGGTTTTGGATATCTTTGCTGTTGGAGATTATTATTATCTTTTGGAGTAGTGATTAGTAAGTTTTTAGAATTTCTATTCATCAAACCTCCAAATTTTACAGAATCAATAATATCCATTGTAGGTCTATAACCCAAATTTTTCATTTCTTCCAAAGCTATTTTAGCTCTTGCATCATTATTCATAACACATTTTCTAATAATTCTTTCATAGATTTCAATGCTTGGCAATATATTTTTTGATTTCATTTCTTCTAAATATTTAAAGGCATCCTCATAATTTGGTTGATTCAAACACAAAAATATCATACGCCTATAAGTGTCAATGTTTGGTTTAAGACCATAAGCTTCCTTTAGCTCCTTGAAAAATTCTTCGCCTAATTCCTTATGGCGAGAGTAGACAGACACATTTATTAAAGCATTGAATGTGTCCAAATCAGGTTTTATGCCAAATTTCTCAATTGATTTAAAAGTTTCGACAGCTCTTTTCAAATCAGCACTATTTGGCTTATTGTTAATTCTCTTGCAAGCAATGATAATTGCATTAAATGCCAATATATCAACCTTTTTACCTTCTTTGTGTAATTCTTCTAATGTACAATAAGCCATGTCAATCAAATCAATACTTTTCTCTATGTATTTAACAATTGATGAAATTGTTTTCATAGTAGGTATATATTTTGAAGATCTTATAATGTTTAATATATCAAAAGCTTTTTTCAAATCGCCTTTAGTAACAAATGTTTCAAGGAATGGTTCTAAATGGTATGATTCTAAATCAAATAATTTATGAGCAGTCATTAAATGTTTAATCACCTTGGTTGCTAATTTTGTTTCGCCAGACACTGAGGCTAAATTTAACAAATTTATGCATAAACCCTCATCCAACCCGACTCCATCTTTAGTAACAATATCCCAACACTTGATTGCACCTTCCACCTAAACACAAAAATCAATTAAATGAAAATAATAATTTTTTTTATCATTTTTATATAATTCAATAAAATAAAACTTACATTATATTGATAAGCACAAATTCTTAGAATGTCCAAATACATATTAGCAAACAATTTATACCCATCTTCTTCGGATAATTTCATTAATTCAAGCACTATAACATCGTCATTAGAACCTATAAAACCTTTAATGATCTTTTGATAAAGTTGAACTGATGGTTTAAAATTTTGGCCTTTGATTGTTATAAAGAAATCTAGTGCACGTTCAAATTCATTATTTTCTATCATTGCATCAATATAATATTCATATGTAGTTACATTTGGTTCAAGTTGAAATTGACTTATTAAGTCAAAAGCAAACTCTCGAAGAATTGGATCTTGTTGTAAGATAAAACTTTTTTTTGCACATGTCTTTTTTTTTTTTTGGAAAAAAAAAAGATAATTAATGTGAGAATGAAATCTTAATTAAAAGCATCCAATTCAAAAACATCATTACCCACAGAAAGTGAATTTTTTCTGATCTTTGTATTTTAATAATAATATTTATTTGTTTACCTTTAATATGATATTAATTGTTTCTAAATTAGGTTTAACACCACCTTCTAGCATATCTCGTAAAACTTTTGTGGATTCAACTGAATCTGAGTATTTTGAATAAGCTTCTAGGAAAATATTATAGGCTGCAATATCAGGTTTAATATTTTTGGATTTCATGCCTTGAAAAATTTGATTCAATTTTGGTATATTATTTTTACTTTTTGTTAACTCCATCAGTGGATCATAATTAACCAACTCAATCTCATTGGGTGAAAATGATGATGTAGATGATGGTATTGGGACTTGTTCTTGTGCATTTGTAACTTCAATTGTTGAATTGAAACGGGATGTTGCTAGTTATTGTTATTGATGAAAAGAAAAAAAATTGATCAATCAATTGATCAATTAATTCTAATGTATTTTAAAAAGATCTTACTTTTGAAAAACCGTATTAAATTAACATTATTATTATTAACATTTATAATACTTCCATTGTTAAAATAAAATTTTGGTAATTTCGTCGTTACTTGTAAGCCAAAATCTTTTGAAGTAAAGAATTTATTAAATTTTGTTAAAATATAGATTTTATCAATGTTTTTTGCCATCATTATGTGACAATTTTCCTTTCCATATATTGATAAAAATTATTTTGATCAACAAGATCTTATAACAGTAACGAGTAACAGTTTATTTAAAAACAAATTGATAGGGTTCACCGTAACGACACAACTAGAGATCGATTTTTGTAAAACCATGAATATGTTTAACATACGATTTTACATTTCAAGATAAATTTTTTTGGTTGGATCTAGATGAAGTAGACGGTGAATGGCGCCAATATATTATACCATCATTTTCCGTCTTGGAAAACATTTATTTTACGCCTCAGTTTTTCACTTACTCTGCCGAAAGGGGAGGAAGACGAAAAAGATCAAGACAAGTTTCCATTCTGATAATAATTTCTGCTCGTTCATTGAATAATTACATTCTATCAAGGACCCATATTCCCCGATTCTTTTTTTTTAATTTTAATTTGATCGATTTTATCGCCATTATCAGCAACAATAAAAATCAAACCACCCATAGAATCGCATCATTTGGGGCGTGGAGATCTGATTAATATTTTTCAGATGAGGATTAATATAGATATAATAACTTTTACTTCTTAATTTTGAATAGCCAAACAATTATTACAATAATGAAAAAATGAAAACGAAATATGGTGATAGTGAAATTGACGACGAAGATGGTAATCAAAGTAATAAGGATTTGTTTATAAAAACCGTTCATTTTGGAATAAAAAATCTCAATTTTAGAATAAAGGTGATTTACAAGTTTTCATCTTGGAAATAAAATTTCAGTATAAATATCCTGAATGCTTTTCATATTTTGAAAAATAAAAATTGTGGGTTAAGAGATTCAAATATTATTTATTTTGAGGACTTTAATTTTATTTTTTTCCTTTAATGACTTTATTTAAAATTGAATATACAGTAATAATAAGAAAAAAGGAAATGTAAATATTCTGCCACAAATTGTATATTGTTTGGGGGTCATAGAAGCGCGCCCGTTTTCTTTTCTGTGCAACATTGATGCTTGCGATTATCAAGGAAAAGTAAAAGAATAGCCTTCAATAAAGGCAGAAAGGTTTTCAACGGCAAAAAAACTATCGAAGGAGTCAAAAATCAAGAAATTACTGAAGATGTGAAAGACAAAAGACTAAGGAAAGGGGGCTATTGGAAATTTAGCAGTTAAAATTAAGGGAGCTGCTAAAGGTGTAAAAACAAAGGCACAGGAATTACTTTGAAATGCAAAGAAATAAACTAGGAGTTTAATTGATAAGGCTAAAGAAGTTGTCAAAGGTGTAAAAGATAAATGTATAGAAACTGCTAGCAATTTGCGAAATAAAATTGAAAGTGTAAAGGGAAAAAGCAAAGAAATTTGCAAGATAAATAAATCTAAGGATTTCCGGGATAAATGAAGAGCCAGCAAAGGAAAAGAAACTGTTAATAAACAACAAGTGAAGAAGGAAATGTGATGTAAAAAAATCACACAGAGAGAAAACCTAATTAAATAAAATGCTTTAAATACTAATACTAATCTTGTGAGTGATTTCATTTTATTTCATTAGTTTTTTGCAAATGTTCTTTAAAATCAATTAAATTATTTGAATTGATATTAGGGAATGGACCAACAAATTAAATTGGGCAAGAATATTAGAATCAGTTATTAATTTAAATTAGGGTACTAATACAAGTTATAGAAAAGAAGATAAATGAAATGTGCTGAGCAATCCAATCTTGACAATCAATTATTGATAATAATAGCTATTACAAAGCAGATCTGAAAAAAGTCCATTGCCATAATAGATTTCTACTCAGCAACTAATTGTCATCCACATGGTCCAATTAAAGAAATTGCAAAGTCTGTTCAAAAGATGTTTAGTGAGTTAAAAATTAGAATTATAAAATCTATTTTATTAAAAATTAATATAATTTTTGCAAATAAAAAATACATGCATATTTAATAAATTTCCCATAGACTAATTCTTTGATCTTTTCCACCACCAATTAAGTAATTATTATTATTTTGATCAACCTTTTTTGTAGTGACAAAGGTGATGATTTTTGTGAAGTCTATAGTGTAAACACTATCACGATGATATGATAGTATTGCTAGTGGTTTTAAAGATTTAGAAGAAAAGACCCGTATTCTTCATTTTATTTTTAAATTAATAATAATAATAAATTTAATAATAGTGATAATAATAATAATGATAATGGTGAATATCAATAATTACTTACTTTGAATCCCAACCAGCAGTGGCAAAAATTTTACCATCAGAACGTATTCTTACATCAGAGATTCCCGAATATTTTAACAATACACTATCAACTATTGGTTCATTTGCTAAGGACTTTAGATATTATTATTATTTAGTTAAATTAATTAATTGATTATAAAAGAATAAAGAATAAATTAGAATTGTTTATTTTTAGGGATAAAAATTCAATTCAAACCTCAGTAAAAGTATATTTAACAATTTTGTTGTCACTAGCTGTTGAGATTGCAAATTTTCTATCTAATGAAACATCAATTGCCATACCTATTACATTACATTGCATTATAATAATTAGTATAAAGTCAATCCATCATTATAACTGCACATAAAAACACACATTAAAAAAGGCAGACTTATAATACCATGTCCTTTATGTTCTTTTTTACACCAATTTTGAACTACTTTGCATTCACATTCATTATCCTTTATTTTTGATATTTTATTTAGTGTAAATATGTATATACTGTATATACATTTGATAATTTCTTGTATATGTTATTTGTATCAGGATCAATGTTTCTAATATTTTTATTATACAAAGCAATCTAGTAAAATAGATTGTACTTCCTTCATTGATTACCAGAATCTCATAATCAAAGTGAAATTAATTTATTTATTTGGGTGGAGCTTGCTGGAATATTTTCCATAATCCTTATCATTTAAATTTTTATATTGCTCGAAAACAAAAAAGCCTTTATAAAGTAATAATAACGAAAGGAATGGCTTATCAAGAAAGTCAAGCATCGCCACCACAAATATATCAAAATGCGTATACACCAGAGTATTGAATTATCAGCAAACACCTCAAATGCAAGTAGATTCTCTATCAAGAGAATGGAGATTTGTGCTATTTGATTGTTTTACTGACAAGAGATTATGTGAACAAATGTATTTTTAATTAAAAATCGTTATTAGTTTTAAACGGTTTTTATTCTTGTTTCTGCCCGTGTGTCAATTTTGTAAGTTAATAATTAAGATTTCCTATAAGTAAAAGATACTTACCATTCATTATGTACACATCCATTATTAGGGTGGCAGAAGAGCTAAACTCGGTGCTAATGATAGTCGACGTATTGTTATGACTATTATATCATTGTAAATAAAAATTCCTGGATCTAATGCTCAGAATCAGAAAATTTCCGATCCTATTTCAGTTTTTAAAATTTTAATCTGAATTTTCGGGTTGTTGGTCCGAAAAACCCGAAAACTTTTTGGATTGTACCAATTATATTGTACTACCACCTATCATAATTTTATACAACTGACGCAAGATGCAAGACTCAATTCATGGCGCAAGCATGATTTATGATAATTTCTTAGCCAACAAAACCTTTCAAGCTGTGAAAACATTGATGCTACACTCAAAATCATGTAATAAATAAAAAGTTTAGTTTTAAATTAATTCATACACGCATCGAATTGCATCTTGCATCTGAATTACGTCTTATATTATGAATTGCCTTTGCGTCATGCATAACACCAACATGTACGTATGATAATTAATATACATTAATCGTTCGCTTTTTATTGGAAGTCTAAACTTAACGCCCATTATGTTAATGGTTACTAGAATTAAAAACTGATTTCGCCCAACACCCTTAAATCAGTAATTTTTATAAATATAGTATCCAACAAAAGTTTCTTTTACACCTGTTAATGAACATTATGAAACAAATTAAGTTGCTTTACTCAGTCGTAAGAAAGTTGAAAGAGAAATTGATTCTAAAAAAAAAAAAAAACAAAATAAAAGTAAAAATCGAATCATCAAGATCAAGATATTATGTTGAGCTACACTTGATACTTCAGGGTTGTATAACAGTTTACGATGTTTGGAGAAAATGGCTTATCTATTTATTTATAAAATTTATACACACACTTTGACCCTTGACTCTTAATTCTATATACGTAGAATAACAAAAAAATTTGGTATTGTTTTGAAAGCATTTTTAGAATATTTGAAGTTTATTAATCTGTTGATAAAATAAAATCAACGCACTTTCATCAAAATGGTCAAATACATTTTAAATGGAGAATAAAATAATTGGCAATCAAGAAATTCCTTGCAAGTGATAGTCCAGTTGATATTTGGTATATTTCATTTTGATATTTTTATGTCGTTCTTATTCAAATAATCAAGTGATTTGTTTTTCTGTATATGAAATTGGGCGTTGAATATTTTCCTTTTGAATGACATAATATCTAATAAGGTTTCGTTCAATATTAGTATTTCTTTGTGATTTCGTTAAACCTCTCTAAATATTTATATTGCATCAACTATACGAATTAAATAAAGGTTGATTTTATCAGTCAAAATCAGATAGTATATCTTTGGATCCTTATCAGTGTTTTGGCCACCAAACTATTTTGAAGAGGCAAAACTCAAAACTAAAATCAAAAGAAAGTTATTCATAAGTCAAAACTAAATCGAAAGTTCTAGTTTCGACTTATGGCAAAACTTTTTGACTTTTGCACAGTCGCGAAACTCTACAGTTTTGGAAACCAATACTAATCTTTGTTATGAATCATTATAGAAGCAATTCAGAAATGGATTAAATAAAGATATGGAAGATGATAATTATGATATATAAAGTGAAGAAAAAGATGCTCATCTTAATAATGATATCATTAAAGCTCCGAGGTACTGATTTGATTCGAATTTAATTAAATGAGAATTCTTAAATTTGTTTTGACAAATTAGAATCAAACCCACATTCGGGTTTTAAAAGTTACTTCACATATAAAAGCACATAAAATTCATCGGGGTGTGAGTTTAAATGCAATTTTCTTATGTGTTCAATAGATTCGTTGAAACGGGGCTTGCTTATTCTAGTCGTAAGCAAGTATTTATCAATTTGTCAATTTTAAATTTTTAAGTTTAAAAATCCGATCTTATTAGAATCGAATCCAGTGCTTTTTTGAATATGGATCGCTTTAAAATCTGACATGATTCGAATTGTTCGAGCCTAATTAAAACATATAAAAAAATGGCTAGGAAACTAATTGATGAGTGTAAATAGCTAGGTTGAGCGATACAATGAAGTTATTAGTATTATATGTAGGTATGTTAATCGATTGATTTTTCACAATCGATTATAAACTGATTAGATTGGCGAATTGAAACAACCGATTGTAATCGTTTTTTATATTGCGAGTATAAATTTAAAAAAATGAATGTAATAATAATAAACCGTTTGAAAAAATTATTCTATAAATTATGTAAATTGTTTAATGCAACAATCTTATCTTTGCAACATCTTTTGTAATTATTATAATTTTCACCATTTATCCAAGTAGTTTTGTATATAGTTGCAAAACCACCTTTGCCTATCTTTTTAATTCATCATAAGAAAATCCATTGAAAATATATAGAATTATAATATATATTAGCTTTATGTACTTTTTATTAATTCATCAATAGCTTCACTTCATTATAATTGTGGATCACATGATTTACATCAATTACAAATTGGACATTCGCAATGTCTTTTTCTTCTTTTGTTTGAATATTCATCATTATCATTTGCGTTAATAGAAATATTATTGTGGTGCCCGTCTTCATTTAAACTTCCAAATTCAAAAGATTTTTAGGGAAGGTGATTTTTGGGGGACAAAATAAAAAATTTGTTTAAAAAATGGAAAAAGCTAACAATAATGTCATAAGTAATAAATCAAAGGAACCACCAAAACCAATCTATATATTTCGTAAACATGAAGAACAAATTAATTTCTTGAGATTTTTTAATGAAAATAAAAATTTTTTTTCTGGGTAAAAAATAAAATAAATTGATAAATATTAAATATTAATAATGAAGATAATTTTGTTTATTTATATGTTATATTGTGTTAGATAGAGATGAAAATGGTGAACTTATTTTATGGAACTTTAAAATTAAAAGACCAATCATGAAATTCAATGCACATGATCAAGGTATTTTGAAATTTGATATATTTGAATCTTTTAATGATAATGATGATAATGATGATAAAAGTGATGAAAAAAAAATTATATTAATCAGGTAAGAAAAATATTTTTAGCATAAAAAATATATTAAATAAAATCAAATGCCAACATATTTATGCGTAATGTGTATATGTATTAGCCATGGAAGAGATGATTATTTAAAAATCTGGAAACTTGATAAACTTAAACTTGATCAATTGAATGAAGAGTCGACCACCTTTACTAGTAGTGGTAGTGTTGGTGTTGAAAATGTTGAGAATTTAATAAAACTTGATAAAAAAATTATAATAAACTTTAGAAATTTTTGTAAATTTGGTGCATGTGAAAAAGGTATGTTATGTTCACTAGATTTAGATTTATTATATAAATCTATAATTAATATATATTCAAACTGTATATTTATTTATTAATGATTATTTATTCTAAAAAAGTCAGAAATTCTAAAGATTTTTTGATAGCTGTGCCAAGCAACATATCAACTAATGATGTAAAAATTAAAAACATCTGTTCTGACTATTTATTTCTCTTTCACATTTCAAAATTTGATCAAGTTTGTTAATTATTAATTAATTATATAGATTGATTTAATATTTTCAGCAAATCCAAAAAAAATCTTGAATTCAACCAAACTTGATGGAAACTCAGGTTTTATTTCCATTTTTTTTTTTTCTTCAATTAATTTTTATATTTTTATTTTAAAAATATATTTATATTTATGTTATTTCTAGGACGGTGCATGGCATTGAAATTATTTCATAATCCTAATGACGAAACACCACATGATTACTTTATGTTATTAATTTATGATAATGGATATGTTAAATTATGGACAATTAATAATTCTATTGATGATGATAAAAAATCGGAAAGAAAGGATAATGAATGTGAATGCAAAGTAGTTCAAAATTGGTGTAAAAAAGAACATAAAGGACATGGTATTATAAGTCTGCCTTTTTTAATGTGTGTTTTTATGTGCAGTTATAATGATGGATTGACTTTATACTAATTATTATAATGCAATGTAATGTAATAGGTATGGCAATTGATGTTTCATTAGATAGAAAATTTGCAATCTCAACAGCTAGTGACAACAAAATTGTTAAATATACTTTTACTGAGGTTTGAATTGAATTTTTATCCCTAAAAATAAACAATTCTAATTTATTCTTTATTCTTTTATAATCAATTAATTAATTTAACTAAATAATAATAATATCTAAAGTCCTTAGCAAATGAACCAATAGTTGATAGTGTATTGTTAAAATATTCGGGAATCTCTGATGTAAGAATACGTTCTGATG